CGCCGCGTCCCCGCCCCGCCGCGCCGCGCCGCGCCTCTCGCACCGCACCGCACCGCGCCGCGCCTACCCAGGGATGTGTAAGCCACAGGATGCCCAGCAGCACTGGAAAGAGGTTTAAACCTACCAAATACATCCCCGTCTCCACCGCAGCTGCCTTGTTAGTGGGCTCGACTACTTTATTTTTTGTTTTCACGTAAGTACGGCGCGGGGCCTGGGGGAGGCCGGGCGGCTCGGCGGCTGCTCCAGGCCCGGCGCTGCTGGTCCGGCTCCTTGCCTGCCTGCCTGCCTCCCTCCCGGCTGGGCTCTGCACAAGCGCTTCCCGTTGTGGGAGCCACCATTTCACGGCAAAGCAACCCCCTCCGCCGGAGTGTGTGCATCAGGCAGCCCCCCCTGCCCTGCCCTGCCCTGCCGCATCCCTGTTTTACCCCCAAGTCTCGGCTGGTTTAGGGGGAGAATTGGGGCTTTTTTTGTGGGGTTCTGCCCTGTGCTTGGGATGAAGGGGAAGGCAGCCCCCCTGGCCCTGCGCGGGGTGGTGATTTGTGCCTCTCTTGATAGAGCCGCTCTTCTGAGCTGCAGGAGCGAAGATGAAGTTTGCCTGGTGGGGGGCAAACTGTGCTCCCCCTTTTCCCCTTTCCCCATTCAATGCAAAATTACGCTCTGAAGATACCGGCGTGCAGCTCCGTTAGCATGGGAGAGGGGTCGGTTAGCATGGGAGAGGGGTCGTGCTTCCAGCTTTGTTTCCTCTCTCAAGTTACCTAGACAGCTCGCTCCACGCCTGGGAAGCTGGTTGCGGGGACCTGGCTCTGCGTGTTGCAGGAGAGGGGTGACCTGTGCTGGGGTTGAGTTGCTGTGTTCAAAAGTGTGCGCGAGATTTTTTGTCTTTTAAAATGTTCTCTGAATACTCCGGTACCTGGGTCATAGTATTCACAGTGCCTTGTATTTTGAGACCTGTCTACTGGTTGGTTTTTTCTTCTTGCCATGGCTGAATCTTTAAACGGAGCCCAGGAAAGTTAAATATTCTGCTGCTGACAGCAGTGGGAGTCTGTACTTGTGTCTTGCTTGGATTGGCATGAGGCTTAATATCAGGCCATGTAGCCTTTTGGAGTAATCTTCATGTAGGATTGTGGAACAAGGTTTAGATGTTGGCGTATTATCTAGCTTTCAGCCTTTTATTTATTTATTTATTTATTTTTTGAAAGAACTGCTGTTGGTAAATGCATCTGGCTTGAATTTGGTCTCATAAATGGTTTTCATTAAAAGTTGCCAGGTTTCCTACTTTAACTTCCTCTATGTATGTGTATACTTACTATACAGTATATATGTAAAGTGTGTGTATTTACACACACGTGTATATGCACTGTAAAATGTATGTATAAATATATATACCTCCTATATATATGTTTACATTGCATACAGTCTCTAATACTGGTACTTTTAATACTCTTCACTTGGGTATCTGCTTATAGATGGTTTGCACAGACTGACATGAGACAAAGTTGGCTCGTGTTACACTTGATTCATATATTTGAGTCTGTTGTAGTTCTTTGAACTTCCTTAACTCCAGTCTCTGACATCAGTTTGCTGGGTTTGAGGGTCTAGGATGGGAAAGCTTGTTGTCAGTCCTGTGAAAATCAGAGAACATTAGAAAAACCAAAACAACTTTTTAAATAATGCTCTCATCTCCTGTTTCCCTGTGATGAGAAACAAGTATACAGGAATATGAATATTATTACTTTTTAAGTGTGCTGGGTGTTCAGTTGTAGCTGTGTTGATCTAAGGACATAGGCAGGCAAGGTTCTTTGGGTAGAGGTGATATCTTTTATTAAACCAACTGAGTAGTTGGAAAAAAGTTGTTGTTAGCAAGCTTTCAGGTGCAGTCGCCGTTCGCCAGGCATAGGGAGTCTCTCTCTACTGGTCTGAGAGTTTGCTTTCATTAGACTTTAGATGCAATGCTACGAACTTTGAGTGATGGAGGAAGACTTTTTGGTCAAACATGCTATATTTATTTAACTTTTTTTTTGCTTCATTGTCCATGCTAAGAGGAAGTATCTTTTATCTTTATTTATCTGTTACTATGGGAGAATAAAGTCGTCTTTTTTTTTTCCCCCCTTTAAAAAAAGTGAATAGAAATGCTTTAATTTGGGTTTTACACACCTAAAATTAACTCCTGGTTACTTGAGCCATGTTAGTAGCAACCTCTTTTTAATTGTAACAGCATAGTTGTCAGTCTGGAAAATACTTCAAGTGTGTCTTTCATATTCTTTTCCATCCAGTCCAAGATAGCGAAAGTAGCAAGCAGGTTGAGTGGACAGGACGTCGGGTTTCTCGTTGCTGAACAACAATTACTCGGGTACGGACAGATTTGTGTTAATCGCTGATTTTTGTCTTCAGCTCACTTTTAACGTTTACCTTGGAATACAAGCAAGTGGCTTGGATAAATGAGGATAGTTTTAATGAATTACTTTTTGCCGATGTTTCTATTTTTATTTAAAAAAGATTTTTTTTCAAGCAGTGTTATGAGTTAGTTTTTGTAACATTGCTACATGCTGAAGTTGTTGCTTTTATGGAGTAGTTCTTCCATAGGTGTACACTGACATCGCTCCATCGACTTCAGTGGAACTTTGAGTAACATCAGCTAAGGAACTGGCTCTAAATCACTTCCCTCAAATGTTCATTTCTTTTCCTAATTTGTAACTTTCAGATCTTCAGGTAGGTATTCACACTATGTAAGCTTCAGTTAGTGGCTTATGCCAGATATTAAATATTATTGTATACTACCCTAGTCAGAAGAAACTAATATTCAGGTCTTGAGTCATTTAACATTAAGAACTGAACAGTGAACACTGGTCAAATGCAGAACATTAGCATATTCTATGCCATCTATTATACATCAAATCATTTTATATTTAATAAAATGGCTGGAGGGCCCAGCTTTCCTCTGGGCCCTCCAAACACTTGTGAATAGCTTCCGTGAAAAACACAGTATATGCAAATAAGGATTACTCACGGCTGTAAGTGCTTATAGGTTCAGGGCATGTCATGAGTGAATGTGTTCCACTAGATGAACTCTTGATTTTTTTTATTTTATTTTTTTTTACATGAAGGCCAGTGTAATTCTTTGTAGTAATTTGCTTTTATTTTTAACCCCTCCTCCTATCCTCCTCCCCTGCCCACCCCACAATTTTCCTAAATGACAGATTGTTTAGATTTCAAATGGTCTTTAATTGCTACCAATGTGGATGTTGGCAATAGCTTTATTTCATGGTACTGTTCATCAGTAGTACTTTTGTGCTTTAATTCAGGCAGATTCCATTATGGATTTTTTTTTTTTTCTTCAGCTAATCATTTGTGAACTAGTGGGGGTTTTTAACCCCTTTTAGTGCTGCTGGAGAGTTAAATTATTTAGTAATCAAGATTGTTACTTGGGAATGCTGCTGTATTCCTCTAATTCTTTGATATGTAGTTTTACTAAAATAAACAGAAACCTGCCAAAAGGGGTCTAATGTTTTATAAGTAATTTCATACTCTATCCATCATTTAAAAAAAACAAAACAAAAACACCTCTCTAACTCTCTCTCGAGAATATAGCTTAATTATTTTTCATGAATGTTGGGGTGTTATGCATCTGACCACAAACTGATCAAGGATGCAAGTCTAAGAGTATTCATCAACAGAACCAAATTTGTTCCAGTAACTCTGTTGCACAGCCGTGTTAAACAACTAAACTATATTCTACGCACAAAGGTATACAGTGAATTATGATGATGTAGCCAATAGAATGGTTTTCTTATCTGGTTTTTATTGTAAATGATGCCATTTACAAGTTTCTAGCATTGGGCAATTTGAACTTAATGACTTTTGTCTGGTAGCTACACCTTCCACAACTGCAAGTAACACAACGTGCTGAAAGTGTGAGGTGCATCTTAATACAGGGAATATGAGGAGCTTGCACTGAATAGTACTCATCACATTTCCGATTCTAAAAAACTGGTACCACCAATATTCTGTTCCTGGTAATACGCTGAGAGCCAGCACTTCTAAGGCATGTCTGGGAAGACATTGAAGAAATGGTGGCTATTAGGTCATGGGACACAGCAATATTTTATACAATAAAACTTGAGCATACTAGTACTTAAATTAGGTAAATAAAGTGTGCCGCTTGTTCTCTTCAGGGAAAGAGAATTCATTTAATAAACAGCAAAGTTAAGTTTCCTATTCAAAGGAGGTAACTGGGATGCAGTTGTAAGTATATTCCGTGGACATTTGGGAGTTGCAATTAAAATATAGGTGGTGGTGCTGGGGAACTCTTAACATCATCAACCTACAGGAATTAGGCTTGAGGACTACATAGGTGTGCCAAGGAATAGGAGGTCGTGGTAGGAATGAAAAGGAGACAGAAAAAGTGACTGAGAGTTGGTGGGGAGGGGATTTTGGAAAGCAGAGTTTGCTGACGGGTTTGTTTATCTCAGCAGGCAGGAAACTTTGTTGTAAGCAACTTTCATTTTAATTTGTTCTTGCATTAGTTCTTTATCTAAAGAGGTAGATTCAAAATTGTACCAATAGTTTTGGTATTATTTTGCTAACAGGAGGATCCAGTATCTCCTTTGGTTATTTAAGCAATTATACAGTTTAGCATATGCAATCCAACCCTTCAGCACACAGGGTCCTTTTTATATTCCGTTAAAAAGTTGAATAATCCATTTAATTACTAAATTGATTTTTTTTCTCATGATCTGTGTCCAGCTGTATTTGGATGGAAATTAGGATTCAATTAAATGCACAAAAATGGTATTGTAACTTTCTTCAGTTTAAATAAGTACCTTTTATTTTTCCTTGCATATTCAGCATCTCTAATTGAAACACATCTGGCATTTCAAGCGGATATATTAAAATTTTTCATGTGTAGTTGATTGTTCCTGGTCATAATGAACTTGATTTCAGAGCTAATGGATCTCGTCCTTTCACACCTCATTTTTATTTGTAGATTGGAAGAGGAAATGCGCTCTTTTCCCCCCTGGAATTTTTTTCCAATTTAGTTTATTCAACTATCTTAGCTGAAAGTTGAGAAACTGAAATGAAATAAACTGCACCAGCAGAAGAAATTTCAATTATTATACAAAGCTTGTTTAGCATGTCAACAAACTCCGATCCTACCATTTCAGTAATTTGGCTTCCTTTAAAACTTCAGGAGGA